ACACACACACACACACACACACACACACACACACACACACACACACAGACATATTGTCATTGTAATTATTACTCTGCTCATTTCCACCCCTCCCTGTGCAGATGGCCCTGCTGCGGTGGCTCACCTCTCAGGCAGATGCAGACAGGAAGTTGTTGGCGGCGCTGACAGGTGTTCAGGTTGGCAGAGAGCTGCTGAATCGGATCACCGGCCAGGACAAACTGGACTCCTACAAGGTGAGCCTACAGGCTGTAAATTACTGTAACACTTCCAGGCCTCAGCAGCAGAGCAGATGATGAAACGAGTCACCAGTAAACCCATCATGTTGGAATAATTCCAGTTTGTGTGTTTCCTCTCAGAGAGCTTGCATCCTGAGCATCGCAGAGTTCATCAGGCAGAACCCGAGAGCCTCGAAGGCCCAAATCAACGCCGAGGTGGAGAAGAACGTTCTGATATTCGCTGCCAGAGTTCACGCTCTGGAGACAGCTTCAATATTCTGAGTTTACCAGAGGATCCTACTGGTTTCAGAGGAACAAAGAAGAACCTGGACGACTGAAACAAAACGATCTTTTTGTTCTTTCTGTTTTCTGTTCTGTTGTTTGTTAAAACTAAACGTCTCCAGGTTTAAAACCGTTGGACCAAATCAAAAATACCATTTCACAATAAAAGCTACTTTTCATTCTGATTTGTTTTTACTTTAAAAGCCTTGAAAACTTGTTTTATGTTGCAATAAAGAAGTTCAGATAAATTTTTGCTGACCAGTTTAATTTTCATATGAATTTTCCAATATTTGATATATTTTAAATTTGAATCAGACTTTAAGTAAACTGAAAGCAAATATCACTGATCTTCTCTTGAATTCATCTTACGTGGAAACAAGACATTTGGAGGTTTTTATTTTATTCAGGAACTTCTATTGAAAAGTCCCTGTGACGTCACATAGAACTTAACCAGTTTTTTATTATTATTTCTCATTTCTCATGACAAACTGCTGTTTAATTTTGTTTGGAAAAATAAGACTCATTAAAAAAGCTGCTCTAATGAACTCATGAAAACAGGTCTTAATTGTCTATTTTTCTCCACTTTGAACAATACCTTTAAATTAAACGATTCGTCAGTGTTTTAGGTCTCCAACGTCTTTTTGGAGCATTATACCAGAGACTCATTTGTTCTGAATGTGTTCTTATTCTGAAGTATTTTGGCAACATTTTTCTAACTACGTTGACTCAAAAACATCAACAGGATTTCAGTCATATTGGAAATACGTTCAGTTTGGACTTCAACAGACAAGAAAAATAAATCCAAATGTCTTCTTTATCAATTTATTAATCATCTTGGCTAAATTTCACTTACACTAATGCACATTTTTGAAAAGAAAACCAAATTTTTCTGTTTTTTATTTATTTTTTGATTGAACTTAAACAGTCTATGATTACAATCAGGCCTTCTACAAATCAAAAAGCCTTAACAACAATATGATCTTGATCCCAACTTGGAATTTTGGATGATTTGTTGCTTTAACTGGTTTAAACTTGAGGCTTTCTGGCACCTGTTTTTTACAATTATTATTATTATTTTTATTAATCTATGTATTTATTAATTTTTTTAATTGAAGAGTATTGTATGTTTTTTATTTCCTTTCATCAAACATGTATTATAAGTTATGCTCCCCCTGGTGGTTTCTTGTTGTGTCATGTGCACTGTTCTGTTCTGTTGTTTAATGATTCAAATAAAGATTTTCAAAAAAAATTTATTTCCCATCCCATTGGCTGAAATGACGTCGTGTTCCCGCCCTTTTGCCTCACTGTCTCTTTTGTGATTGGACATCGCATGACGTGCGTCACGGAAGCGTGCTCTCTGATTAGCTGGAAGAAAATGGCGGGGGAGGAGTTGTGATTTAAGTAAAACACGACTCTCTGTTCGGCCAACGTTTACTGCAAGTTCTAAAACTACGAGCTAAAATTTTCTAAAAACATCGAGCCAAAGTTTTCTCAAAGAGCCCACCCGGGAACATGGACCAGTGTGGGGGCAACAAGGAGGTCTGTGAGGTGTCCGAGCAGCTGGAGAAGTAAGTTACCTGCTAGTTAGCATCAGAGCTAACCGTCTTCCGGTTGATTATAAATGAGCTCAGCTAGCATCAGGAGGCTAGGAGTGATTTATTTAAACAGACCTACTGTGAATACACAGTTTGATGGTAGTTTACCTGGTTTATTCGGTGTAATTAGTACAGAAAGGTCGTGTTTTCATACAAACACAGCAGGACCAATAAAACAAACTGGTTGAATATAACAAACAGTTTTTACAAAGTTTTATAACAAAACTCTTTGTTCTGTAAATCATTTAGAACAATTTCCTGTGATAAAAGGCAGATATAAGAATTATTGTTCTTCTGCCTTTAATTTAATTTTATTTTGATTGCATGTTTTTATTGTGTGTGTGTGTGTGTGTGTGTGTGTGTGTGTGTGTGTG